ATAATCATCAAAACTCTTTCGAGGACTAACAGTATTAATAAATCGCCTAGTTCCCGCCTGTCAGAATATATTATGATGGTAGTGTGAAAGGCATAAGCAGAAAGCCCGGTATTTAACGATAATTAATCAATATAATTCTACTATATATTATTCCCACTTACTAGAAACTATAAAACGGTCAAAATCGTAGACATTAAGAAGTATTTGCTAACCGTATTCAATAGCTCAATATATTCAACCTCTTTTTTTTCAAGAGAACTGATTAGGTTCTAGCATCTAGTGGTTATGCTAAAAAAAGTAAGCCTAAGGTTCTTCCAACGAAACTGAGACAAGCAAAACAAAATTAAATTAAATTAAGCTTATATACAAACAAAAGCATGCCTAAGTTCGGATTGAGCTCATCGAGAGGCCTTCTTTGTCGGCTAGATTCAGGTGCCAATTGACTCTGCTCCAAATTGCAAGTTATATCCAGTTGCTTTTTGGCTGTTTCTGCGATCTGCCCAAGATCAGACACTTTCAATCCTATAAAGGGACTTCGCGACCGTGCTGTAGATCGAATTACAGGTGGCGCAGTTGATCCTGAGAGAGTCGAAACACTTGGCGAAAGGCTGACTAGCACAGAACTAGCCATACTAATCGGTTTTGATTCAATAATATCACTAGGAGCATCTGATTCCAAAAATGGTTGGGTGATATGATCGGATGATATGGCCGGGGGGGAAAGCCGGGCAGATTGGGACCGAGTATGAGGAAAGCGCACTGAACGAGGAGATAAAAGACAGGTAACCCGCCTTATCCGAGCTTTAAGTGGGGCAGCCTTGACGGAACCCAGGGCTTGCGTACCAGACTTAAAGTGCTTATAGGGGAGTAGCCGCCGTGAGACAAGGTTCGGATTTAAAGAAACGACATGGCTTGGGCGCTGGTGGCAAGGGAGATAAGGAAGAGGCACATCTGAAGGACATGTGTTAGGCTCATCAACCTCCATGTCGACCTCTCCTTCAGATAAATCGGCAAACACGATTTGATGTGAATCTGAATGAGCCTTTTTGAAAGTTGAGTGAGCTTCGGGAGGCTCAGATAATGTTCCTGAGTTAAGTGAGCGTGAAGGCTCTTGTGACTTAAGACTGTTGGAAGTTGTCACTGAAAAGGCAGAGATGATCGAAGCAGATGATATCGTCGAAACTGTAAGACTTGGTGGAGCCAGAATGGAAGGAACGGATTCGGAGATAGATGATGGCATTCGAGAGGCACCACCTGAAATTCCACGGGAATCCAAGTGACGACGAATTGGAATGGAAGCTGAATTGATACAAAAAAGATAAAGAACAAAAAAGTCGGACTCAAACTAAATAATGTTATATTGCATTTTACTCTTTAATTATGCTATAAAAACTTGTCTAAAGTATCAAATTAGCCGCACTGAAATCTCTAATAGAGTACTAGGTAAGACTAGGACTTACACTAAGAGTAAAAGTATATCAAGCAGATATACT